ATTTGTAAAACCCATTTGTAATGCAATGCTTTACGTATTCTGCTTCCACTCACAAATAAGCTATATAATAAAAGTTATTATTACCCATTAGTACTAGTAGTAATCATAGTGACTGTAAAGATAGTACTAACCAAGTGTTCTATGTCATTCTAGAAAATCTGCACCTCATCTCAATTTTGCACAATTCGGGGAGGTAGATATCATTACATCCTTCGTAACAAGTATGTAACTGGGAAACAGAGAGGTTTATCTGGCTAGGGATGGGAAGGTTTTGTATTTTTTTTTAAAAAATTCTTCTTTAGAAACCTGAAAAACAAATTACACGAAGAAAGATTTGTTGCTTGCTGGCATTTTAATATGGTTTATTAAGAGTCTATATGAAAAATGAATGTTTTTGATGTAAGAATTAGGTTAACAATTTGGTATTTCTAAAAGAATAATAAACATATGGAAAACATTATGAGCAAAGGCACATTAGCTAAAAGTCTATTAAGTTTAAGAGACAAAAAGGCACACAGTATTTCTTCATGAGGAGTCTAAATATTGCCTGTTCTGTTTTGTCTCTGTGCTACCAATTAACATGTTCTGTTATTTGATGTATTGGAGCTCATTTGTTGGAGACTCAAATCATTTTAGTAGAGGAAAATGAGCAACTTTTTAGTATTAAGTAGATTAAAGAATTTGTTCACTGGTGTTTGACTTAGGCACTTAGGGAATATGCAAGAGAGTGAAGCTTAATTTTTACATTAAAAATCGAGACAAGTATATAGGACTATGTACATTTCTTCCATTACTAAAAGAGTGCACGTTTTGTCACCTCATTTTCTTGCTCTTTTACTTTTGGGTGGTTATAAATATACCACACTTAAATCTATACTCTCAGAATAATTTATATTAGATAATATCTAATAATTATGAATTCTTGACTTCCATACAACCATCTCTAGTCCTGTAAGTCATATGTTTAAGTAATAAAAAAAAAATACAATAAAACCTGGGAACCAAGAAAGATCCCTCTATTATATGACTAGTATGTGCTTTCCAGACTGAGGGGGACGTTCCATTTATAACTCTCATTTGTTTCCTACCATTGTGGCCAAGTTTCCACTTATTACATGTCTCCTTGCCTTAATATTAACTTCCAGTTTGGAACACTGTAAACTGTTTCTCCACCCCTAAATTAAAGCAAATGATATCCACCCCACATCCACCACCAATTTTACTAGCAGCCACTTCAAAGATTCCATTTTAAAAAGTAAAGTATGGCCACTGCTTCCTGAAGCCAAGATCAGCCCTGTTTATAATGAAGCTGGACTTTCTCTGACTTCCCTTCTATTTAAACACTGAGAGTTTTTTCCAAGACATCCTTTTGTGTCCTTCAAAATTGAACCTGGTTGTTTTGCTGTTGTTATTAGTGACCGGTTGAAGGATTGATAAAAGGGCTCTGGTAGACTCTCCCTATGTAGTCCTGCTTGGGACCACCAAGTGGGCATTTTCTGTGACATTTCAAGACCACATCTAATTATCTTTAATAAACCTAAAATTCTAAAACATTTAAAGATTGCCTTAATTACATGCAATTTCAGAAATGCAACAAATCAGCAATATTTTTTAGATTGTCAATGTTTTATCAAACTATATAAAAGTGGATGGCAAAAAATTTTTAAAATGACAAAAACACTCTACAATTGTTCAACTTTCTGTTTCCTCTGCTCATCTCTCCTTTTTGACCTTTTTCTCAGTCATTCCTTGATAGTGGCCTCAGGAGCCTCATGTGAAGTTGCTTATTATACAAGTCAGTGTTACCCTTTGTCCATGTGTGTACACTGTGACTATTAATTAAGTCTGGGTCAATGTAACTGAAGCTGGATGCATACTAGTATCTTTCTAAGTCCTCGCCTCCCTCTGTATTCCAGCCTGCCATATATACATACAGTTTGTGTATGTAGGGAAAAAAGAAAACACAGTTACAGATGCTTAGACTTTGTACTAACCTCCATGGGAGCTGCTGAAAGGTAAAAAGCTACCTTCTCTCTCTCTCTCTCTCTCTCTCTCACACACACACACACACACACACACACACACACACATACACACACAGTAATCCAAATAGTAGTTTAGCTTAAGCTGAAGATGTCTTCCTTCATAAAAGACCTGTTCTTGGAATCTGAAGGTTCTGACTCTCAACTATCTAAAAATAATTTATATGCTTGGGTCTTTCAAATTCTGCAGGTAATGTGAATTTGAACCCTAAACCCACTAAGGGCCTATGGAAGGTTATGTTGGATACAGGGAGACTTTGTATTTCTCCCCCACCCACTGCCAGAAAAACAGTATTCTATAGATTCTCAACCATGTTCCCTGCCCTGCTTCTGCCCAGAGTTGTTTCTTGTCCCCTGTGTGGCTATAACATGATGCCTACATGCCCCAATATTTTAGCTCTTATCTTAAAAAAGAGATGATACAATTGAATTAAATTTGTAAATTGTAGAGATCTTAGTTTTTTTCCTCTGAATACATTAGTCTTCTTTTAGTTCTGAGGACATGTTCCTCCTATCACCCAGGGCTTTTTGCCCAAATGGTATTAAAACATTCTTCTTTACACACACACACACACACACACACAGTCATTATTGGAGATTGTTCCTTGTAATTCTTCACATCTGATTTTAACAATTATGGTTATATATCTTTTAATTATGGGAAAGGAGTGGTTTTGCCATTGTGCAAACACCATATAGTGCACTGGCTAATCACTCCAAATGGCCTCTTGATGCATTCAAGAGACACAGTAAACATAGGATATATGAGGCAGCTCTTTGCATAACATGGCATTATTGTTTTGCAGTATTTTTTTAATAAACAGAGGAGTATATTCAAGCCAGGCATGGTGGCACACATTTATAATCCCAGCAACTCAGGAAGCTGACATAGGAGAATCACAGGTCAAGGTCAACCTGGGCAACTTAGTGAGAGCCTGTCTCAAAAATTAATACTAATAAATAAAAAAGTGCTGGGGATATAGCTTAGTGTAGACCGGACTTATATTCAATTCCCAGCACCACAAAAATTAACTAATAAATTAATTAATTTAATTAAATAATGTTAGGGCTAGGGGTTGAGTTCAATGATACAGTGTGGGCCTAGGAAGCTTAAGGTCCTTGGTTCAATATCCAAAACCACCAAAAAACAAAAAACCTCTTTCAAATCAACAGAAAATATAATAAAAAGTATGGTATAGTAAATGCATAAACCAGTAACTGTTCTTTATTATCATTGTAAAGTATTAAGTGCCATACACAATATTTTATGTGCTATGTAGTATTGCTATGCTGTATGTGCTAGACTTTCATAGGCTGGTAGCCTGCTAGGTGCATTTACAGGGCATCACCATAAACACTTGAGTAGCACAATGTTTAATGTTGCAACAGGACATTATGATGGCTGTGTTATCACTAGGTGATGGGAATTTTTTAGCTCCATTATTGTGTATAAGATCATTGTTGACTGAAACATAATGATGTAGCATATGATGTTCTTCCTCAGATAGGCCTTCCTTAATCATTCACGATGCAAAATCAGCAATAACTTTTGTATTTCAGCATTTTCAAGAGGCATATAGAGTTCACACATACAAAAAAAAGTTTGGGTTCCCGGATATTACACTATAACTTTTCATCCCCAAGAACTAAACTACCATTCATTGAATAATAAATTTACTACACAAATAAAATATTACTCAAAGTATTCAAATATGGAAGATACATCGACAAAGAGAAATAAAAGAAAAATAAGAGAGAGAGAGAGAGAGAGAGAGAGAGAGAGAGAGAGAGAGAGGGAGACTAAAAGTACTTTAGGAACTTGCTCAGGAACACTTAATAAGTTACAGTTGTAGCTGAATCCAAAATCCTGAAATAAAGCTTAGTTATCTATTGTTTTAGAAACTAGAATACCTAGGCAAGGAAAATTGTAAAAATCCCCATGTCTGAAAGACCAGAGGACAACATTTTATCTTCTCTCTGAGTCAGTAGAATGTTCCTTACTTGGTTCCAGAAGATAAGTAAGGATTTATGCACATATGTTACAATGTCAAAATAAGCTCTTGTGGAGCTTGTTCCTCCCATTGTTTTTCAACATTTGCCAAGCAACTGTACACTTCTGACATTAAGCTTTACATATTGATTTTCAGCCTCACCAAAAAGCTTTAATGCAGTCTTATATGTAGTTGTCAAAATACTTGGTTCAAAGATCATCAGACTCATCTATTTTTAGCTGAGTTTAAAAAACTAACACTAATTAAAAATAATATTCACAAAATGCTATATATATATATATATATATATATATATATATTAAACTTAAAACAACACAGAATTTAATAAGCAATTCATAATCTTGCAACTTTTTAGATCTCTTCATTTTATCATATTATGGATTTCACTTGATTTAAAAAGAGAAGGCTCTGTCAAATGCAGGGTTGCCAACATCAGGAAAATATTTCAAGCAAAATATTCTGCACTTTGTCTCCATATATACCCACCACAGCTCACAAAATAACAAAAAGCATTTGTTCCAAAAATTACAACAGTATATTCTACGATTTTTGTTTGTGCTCCTCAAAATATCATCATATATCAGTCTGTTAATTTTTATGGTTGAGAGCATATGGGAGTTGAAACAAGCAGACATAGCTCTACTAGGATTAATAATTAAAAATAACAGATTCACAAATTTAATCAAATCAAACTAACAGCAATGAGACCTTCACTGCCCTAACAAAAACATTTTGAATTTACAACTGCTTCCTGAATGCCAATCATATTTAAACATTATATTCTTAACATTTTTCTGTTTTATAATATAAAATGCTTGAATATTATATTCATAACATTTTATAAATATTATTTCATTAATACTCTTAACGTGCTTATATTACAAATAAGGAGATGCGCCCAAAAGAGAGAAAAACAAGGAGTCTGTAACACAAAAATGCAAAATACCTGAAGGGCCGTAAGGATATTTGCTAAGGCCTGTCCGTAAGTGTCATGACAGTGAACAGCAAGAGCACCTGGAGGTATTTCTTTCATGACACTTTCCAACATTCTCTTCATGCTTCCTGGAGTCCCCACTCCAATGGTGTCTCCCAGAGAAACCTCATAACAGCCCATGCCATACAATCTCTTAGACACCTGTTGAGAAAGACCAAGTGCTTGTAAGACAATGGAAATGAACAGACTTATACCTCCTTGTTCCTTAGCAAACACCATCTAGAGGTAAAAATCACAATTAAAGTGACTTTATCCATGGAAATATATGCTTTAGGTTCCTAGTCCTTCCCCTTTCTCATTGAATTCTAAGCATTACATAAAACTTTGAATGAAATTACTACCATTATCCTTTTCTGATATTCAAGGTTATCTTAGAATCATCTGTTTGATTATCCATTTATCTATTCAGTTATGAAATTATAAGCCACACTTTTAATGATGGGAGGCTGATACGTCTCAACACTTTAATCAAACATAAGAATTACAGATTTATTTGGAAAGTAGTATTCCTCTAGGTATGACATCAAATGTCAATAGACATCAGTAGCAGCTTCAGCTTTTCAGTTGGTAGAGGACTGGTCTAGTTTTTCCTGGCTCATAAATGAATGCACTTGTACAATATAAATTGTAATGTCTCCTCTAACCCAATAACTATTGTCACTTTCAAAGAATAATGTGAATTTGCATAAAGACAGCATGATATTTTGACAAAGACATGGTTTTCGGAATCAGAGATTTGGATTTAAATATCAGCCCCATCAAAGCTAGTGTTGAATCCACTTATTAAGACCTTAATTCCTAGTCTAAAGGATACAGACAACAAAATTTCTTCCTTTGGTGTGTTTCCTAAGCCTTAATTATGTCATTTTTTAAAAATCATGTTAATCGTACCAATGTTAATGGCATATTTGGTTGTGAAAATGAGAATGTGTAAAAGTCACTCTATATAAAATCTGGCACATACTACTCATTCACTCATTCACTCATTCAACATGTACTTCCCCAGAATCTATTTTATGCCAGGCACTATGCTAGATAGGAAAGCAGATACTGACATAGCTTATGCTTTTATGGAGTTTTGAGTCCAGTGAGAACATATATAACACCACTGAGAAATGTATAATAATAATATGCTAAAATAAGAATATTGAAACAAAGAAACAAGATTTTATGAGCATACATCAAAGGAAATTGACCCATCTGTCATGCAGGAAGGACTTAGGTGACAACTTGAGATACAGTAAGCTTGAACAGTGAAGGAAGGAAGGGTCTAAGAAGAGGGTTCCAGAAAGGATATGGAATGCACAGATTAGCAGGTTCCAGGCAGCTGAAATACAAAATGTAAAGAGCATCTCAGGCAGGAAATAGTAAAATGTTAAGGGCAGTGTGATGACAAAGCAAAAGCCAAGGGTTGGGGGAAGAAAAAGGGAGGACTAGAGGCTTGAAAAGATAATTACAGCTTGAAACAGTCATTTCAGAAAAAAAAAGAGTGCAAAATGAAAACAGCGCAAAGGGTCTCTTTAAGATGCTGCTGATCCTTAATGTCTAAGGCTTCCAATCTGCCTGCCACAGAGCTCTCTTAGCAGCTCCTCAGGCATTCTGGTGCAGGAATCCAGTGTGTGGTACATCCATAGATGAAGCAGAGCAAAAGAGAGAAAAGCAAGGAGTCTGGTGAAAGACTACAAAATCTAAGCTTCATTATTTCATAACATATCTGCCTTTGTGTGCAAGATTTTTGTTTCAATAAGATGATGTGATAGATCTTTTTTTTTTTATTGGTTGTTCAAAACATTACAAAGCTCTTGACATATCATATTTCATGCATTTGATTCAAGTGGGTTATGAACTCCCATTTTTACCCAAAATACAGATTGCAGAATCACATCGGTTACACATCCACGTTTTTACATAATGCCATATTAGTAACTGTTGTATTCTGCTACCTTTCCTATCCTCTACTATCCCCCCTCCCCTCCCCTCCCATCTTCTCTCTCTACCCCATCTGCTGTAATTTAATTCTCTCCCTTGTTTTTTTTTTCCCTTTCCCCTCACAACCTCTTATATATAATTTTGTATAACAATGAGGGTCTCCTTCCATTTCCATGCAATTTCCCTTCTCTCTCCCTTTCCCTCCCACCTCTCATCTCTATTTAATGTTAATCTTTTCCTCATGCACTTTCTCCCTGCTCTGTTCTTAGTTGCTCTCATTATATCAAAGAAGACATTTGCATTTGTTTTTTAGGGATTGGCTAGGTTCACTTAGCATAATCTGCTCTAATGCCATCCATTTCCCTGCAAATTCCATGATTTTGTCATTTTTTAGAGCTGCGTAATACTCCATTGTGTATAAATGCCACATTTTTTTTTTATCCATTCATCTATTGAAGGGCATCTGGGTTGGTTCCACAGTCTAGCTATTGTGAATTGTGCTGCTATGAACATCGATGTGGCAGTATCCCTGTAGTACACTCTTTTAATGTCTTCAGGGAATAGTCCAAGAAGGGCAATAGCTGGGTCAAATGGTGGTTCCATTCCCAGCTTTCCCAGGAATCTCCATACTGGTTTCCAAATTGGCCGCACCAATTTGCAGTCCCAACAGCAATGTACAAGTGTACCCTTTTCCCCACATCCTCGCCAGCACTTGTTGTTGTTTGACTTCATAATGGCTGCCAATCTTACTGGAGTGAGATGGTATCTTAGGGTGGTTTTGATTTGCATTTCTCTGACTGCTAGAGATGGTGAGCATTTTTTCATGTACTTGTTGATTGATTGTATGTCCTCCTCTGAGAAGTGTCTGTTCAGGTCCTTGGCATATTTGTTGATTGGGTTATTTGTTATCTTATTGTTTATTTTTTGGAGTTCTTTGTATACTCTGGATATTAGGGCTCTATCTGAAGTGTGAGGAGTAAAAATTTGTTCCCAGGATGTAGGCTCCCTATTTACCTCTCTTATTGTTTCTTTTGCTGAGAAAAAACTTTTTAGTTTGAGTAAGTCCCATTTGTTGATTCTAGTTATTAACTCTTGTGCTATGGGCATCCTATTAAGGAATTTGGAGCCCGACCCCACAATATGTAGATCGGAGACAAATTTTTCTTCTATTAGGCGCAGAGTCTCTGATTTGATATCAAGCTCTTTGATCCATTTTGAGTTAACTTTTGTGCATGGCGAGAGAAAGGGGTTCAGCTTCATTTTGTTGCATATGGATTTCCAGTTTTCCCAGCAACATTTGTTGAAGATGCTATCCTTCCTCCATTGCATGCTTTTAGCCCCTTTATCAAATATAAGAAAGTTGTAATTTTGTGGATTGATCTCTGTGTCCTCTACTCTGTACCATTGGTCCACCCACCTGTTTTGGTACCAGTACCATGCTGTTTTTGTTACTATTGCTCTGTAGTACAGTTTGAAATCTGGTATCGCTATACCGCCTGATTCACACTTCAAGCTTAGAATTGCTTTTGCTATTCTGGGTCTTTTGTTTTTCCATATGAATTTCATGATTGTTTTATCTATTTCTACAAGAAATGTCGTTGGGATTTTGATTGGCATTGCATTAAATCTATAGAGAACTTTGGGTAATATCGCCATTTTGATGATGTTAGTTCTTCCTATCCATGAACAGGGTATATTTTTCCATCTTCTAAGATCTTCTTCTATTTCTCTCTTTAGGGTTATGTAGTTTTCATTGTATAAGTCTTTCACCTGTTTTGTTAAGTTGATTCCCAAGTATTTTTTTTTTTTGAGGATATTGTGAATGGGGTGTTTTTCCTCATTTCCAATTCAGAAGATTTGTCACTGATATACAGGAATGCCTTTGATTTATGCGTGTTGATTTTATATCCTGCCACTTTGCTGAATTCATTTATTAGGTCTAGTAGTTTCTTTGTAGACCCTTTTGGGTCTGTTAGATATAGTATCATATCATCTGCAAATAGTGATAATTTAAGTTCTTCTTTTCCTATTTTTATGCCTTTAATTTCTTTTGTCTGTCTAATTGCTCTGGCAAGTATTTTGAGAACTAGATTGAATAGAAGTGGTGACAGAGGGCATCCCTGTCTTGTTCCAGATTTTAGAGGGAATGCCTTCATTTTTTCTCCATTTAGAATGATGCTAGCCTGAGGCTTAGCATATATAGCTTTTACAATGTTGAGGTAAGTTCCTGTTATCCCTAGTTTTTCTAGTGTCTTGAACATAAAGGGATGCTGTACTTTGTCGAATGCTTTTTCTGCATCTATCGAGATGATCATGTGGTTCTTATCATTACGTCTATTGATGTGGTGAATAATATTTATTGATTTCTGTATATTGAACCAGCCTTGCATCCCAGGGATGAATCCTACTTGATCACGGTGCACAATTTTTTTGATATGCTTTTGTATTCGATTCGCCAGGATTTTATTGAGGATTTTTGCATCTAAGTTCATTAGAGATATTGGTCTGTAGTTTTCTTTCTTTAAAGTGTCTTTGTCTGGTTTCGGGATAAGGGTGATGTTGGCCTCATAGAATGAATTTGGAAGATCTCCTTCTTTTTCTATTTCTTGAAACAACTTGAAAAGTATTGGTATTAATTCTTCTTTGAAGGTTTTGTTAAACTCCGCTGTATACCCATCTGGTCCAGGGCTTTTCTTGGTTGGTAGTCTTTTGATGGCTTCTTCTATTTACTCTTTTGTTATTGGTCTGTTTAAATTGTGTGTATCTTCCTGACTCAATCTGGGCAAATAATATGACTTGAGAAATTTATCGATATCTTCACTATCTTCTATTTTATTGGAATATAGGGTTTCAAAATAATTTCTAATTATCTTCTGTATTTCTGTAGTGTCCATTGTGATATTGCCTTTTTCATCCCATATGCTAGTAATTTGAGTTCTCTCTCTTCTTCTCTTCGTTAGCATGGCTAAGGGTCTGTCAATCTTATTTATTTTTTTGAAGAACCAATTTTAGTTTTATCAATTTTTTCAATGGTTTTCTTTGTTTCAATTTTGTTGATTTCCACTCTGATTTTAATTATTTCTTGCCTTCTATTACATTTGCTGTTGTTTTGCTCTTCCTTTTCTAGGGTTTTGAGATGAACTGTGAGTTCATTTATTTGTTGATTTTTTCTTTTTTTTCAGGAATGAACTCCAGGCAATGAATTTCCCTCTTAAAACTGCTTTCATTATGTCCTATAGATTCCGATATGTTGTGTCTGTATTTTCATTTATCTCTAAGAATTTTTTGATTTCCTCCTTTATGTCTTCTGTAACCCATTGATCATTCAGTAACATATTGTTCATTTTCCAGGTGATGCAGGATTTTTCCTTCCTTTTTTTATCATTGATTTCCAGTTTCATTCCATTATGATCAGATAAGATGCATGGTATTATCTCCACACCTTTATATTTACTAAGAGTTGCCCTATGGCATAATATATGGTCTATCTTTGAGAAGGATCCATGTGCTCCTGAGAAGAACGTGTATCCACTTGATGATGGTTGATATATTCTATATATGTCAGTTAAGTCTAGGTTATTGATTGTTTTATTGAGTTCTATAGTTCTTTATTCAGCTTTTTTCTGGAGGATCTGTCCAATGGAGAGAGCGGTGTGTTGAAGTCACCCATAATTAATGTGTTGTGGTCTATTTGACTCTTGAACTTGAGGAGAGTTTGTTTTATGAACATTGCAGCACCATTGTTTGGTGCATACATATTGATAATTGTCATGTCTTGTTGGTGGATGGTTCCTTTTAACAGTATATAGTGTCCTTCTTTATCCCTTTTGATTAACTTAGGTTTGAAGTTGATTTTATTCGATATGAGTATGGCCACTCCTGCTTGCTTCCGAGGACCATGTGAGTGATATGATTTTCCCTAACCTTTCACCTTCAGCCTGTGTATGTCTTTTCCTATCATATGAGTCTCCTGAAGGCAGCATATTATTGGATTTGTTTTTTTAATCCAGGTTACTAGCCTATGTCTCTTGATTGGTGAATTTAAGCCATTAATGTTTAGGGTTACTATTGATATATGGTTTGTACTTCCAGTCATGCTCATTTATTTATTCATTTTAATATGGCTAGTTTTTCCTCTTTGGTTATTTTTCCCCCCCTTTACTGAGATACCTCCCACTGTTAGTTTTGGGTGCTGTTTTTCAATTCCTCTTCTTGTAGTGTTTTGCTCAAAATGCCCTGCAGTGCTGGTTTTCTGGCTGCGAATTCTTTTTACTTTTGTTTATCATGAAATATTTTAATTTCTTTGTCAAATCTGAAGCTTAATTTTGCTGGATACAGTATTCTTGGTTGGAATCCATTATTTTTCAGCGTTTGAAATACGTTGTTCCAGGATCTTCTCGCTTTCAACATCTGTGATGAAAAATCAGCTGTTAACCTAATTGGTTTACCCCTGAATGTAATCTGCCTCCTTTCTCTCGTAGCTTTTAATATTCTCTCCTTGTTCTGTATGTTGGATATCTTCATAATTATGTGCCTTGGAGTTGGTCTATTACGGTTTTGTATGTTTGGGGTCCTGTAGGCTTCTAGGATTTGGCAATCCATTCCATCTTTCATGTCTGGGAAGTTTTCAAAGATTATTTCATTCAATAGATTGTTCATTCCTTTGGTTTGAACCTCTATACCTTCTTCTATCCCAATGACTCTCAAGTTTGGTTTTTTTATGTCATCCCATACCTCTTGGATGGATTGCTCGTGATTTCTTAGCATCCTTTCTGTGTTGACTATATTCTTTTCAAGTCGATAAACTTTAGATTCATTATCTGATGTTCTCACTTCTATTTGATCTAGTCTATTTGTAATATTCTCGTTTGAGTTTTTAATTTGGTTTATGGTTTCCTGAATTTCTAGGTTTACTGTTTGATTTTTTTTTAAATCTCTATCTCCTGGTAGAGTTCATTCTTTGCCATTTGAATTTGCTGATGTAATTCGTTTTCAAAGTATTCTTTCATTGTTTGGACTTGCTGTCTAATGGTTTCTCTAAGATTCCATTCCATCTGAGTCAGGTATGCCTTGAGTTCTTTCTCTGTCCATTTTTCTGATGCCTCTAGGTTCTCCTGTAAATATAAGTTGTCCTGCATTGTTTGTAATCCTTTTTTCCCTTGTTTTTCATGGTGCTCACGTTACTTTCCAACTCTGTTTGACTGCTGTGTTTCTGTTTTCTCCTATAAATTTGTTTTGAGTGGGAAGATGGCGGCGAATAGAGTGCATCACCCCCGTGTACCGCGTCACTGCGCAGGTGAATAACGAGTTAGAACGGCCAAAAGCTATCTTGTTAGGAATCTCCAGCAAAATTGGGGTGCACCGAAACCTAGAGGAAGGATTTCCATTACCCGAGGATCAATTACTGGGGCTCAATCGCGAGTGAACCATGCGCCCGGAGATTCAGGCTGATTGATCGGCGGTCCAGCCTGCAGCCAGAGAGTGCGCGGAGATACGGCGTGCCAGCATCACAGAGAAACGGCGCTGCGGATTCTGTGGGGTCCTGCCAACTGTGCCCTCAAGGTGCTCCAGGCTGAGTTCTGGGTTTGAGACAGGGGAGAGAAATGACCCAGATCTGTCAACCACAACGGACAACCCACCAAGGAAGCCAGCGGCCACCATCTTGGAGAGCTGATGTCACCATCGCCAGTTTCCGACAGATCGCAGGAAGTTCAGCGATAGAACAGGTGTGTGACATTTAGCCCTTCTCACATACAGCGGGGAAATCACATAAAATCTCTCCCAGGCCTTCCGGGGGCGTGATTATCAGAGTGATCATGAATAGAGGCATGGGGAAAGGTAAATGCACGTGGCCTCCAACTCCCCCCTCCCACCAGCAGTGAAAATGAAACCTGTCTCGCCAGCTCTGGGAGGAGTGGCTATCAGAGGGAATCAAAACAATAGGGAGCCGGTTCCCAATAGCCTTACTCCATATCCAGGAAACTGCAGGCCCAGAGTGTAGCTTGAACTGCGGAGAGGTATCCCACCAGGGAAGGCCTGGCTGGCAGGAGAAGCAAGGAGACTAGAGACCAGGAATAAACCTAAGCTAACAGGTTTGGAGAGACACCAGGTGGGGGAGGAGGGAGCGGCCTCACATGGATTGTTTCCTACAGCCAGAGGGCAAAATCTTGGCCCGGAAGGCACAGTTCCACCTACTGGAAGCAAAGAAAATAGAAGCCTAACAGTGCCTTTTTTTAAAATTTTTAAATTTTATTTTTTTTAAATTATTTTTTTAATTGTAATTTTTATTTTACTGTTTTTTATTATTTTTTTATCATTTCTTTTTCTTTTCTATTCTTTTCTCTTTCTTTCTTCTCTCCCTCTCTCTTTCTTGGTTTGCTTCCTTACCTTTTCCCCATCTTTCCTCTTAAACATGATCACCCCGATTACGTATAATTTACTAAATGCAAATAGATCAATACTACGAGTCGGTCTATAGTCCGCCTAAGCCCTTAACTACCCCCAAGTACTCCTGTCTATTCTCTTGTTAATATCTGCCTGCATTTGAGCTACCCCCCAAAGAAGCTAACATATACTAACCTCCATACCATCAAATTGACCGACCTTAACACAAAATCCTAAGTTCAAACTTCAATTCACTATATGCCATCAAAATCTATAGGCATTTAATGAAACTAATGAATTTACCTTAAATCACAATTAAATCCAACGTCTCTAAACATTGTCTCCCAACACAAAGGAGAGATATTGGAACTATAAAAACCAGATGTGATAGATCTTATTTGAAAAATCTGCAGCAAGTTTCAAAAGTTTGAATGAGGACATGAAAGAGGAGTGGCTTCAGTTGATGGAGTTTGTCCTGTCTAAATTTGGATTTTGTAATAATGCCATCTTCACTGCTTTAGTGCCACATTATTAAGTTTATTAAACCTTAAAACCATAGCAGGAGTTTGTGTTAATATGCTTCGTTTACAAATGATAATCTGAGATACCCTAATATAATTCTCAATGAGGGCAATAAGGACATTGCATTTATAAAAATAAAGGAAGAACTAGAAAATAAAAAACTTCAATAAGCAGATATTTAATGACTGTAATCTGTTGCTGTAAAATTGCTCTGGAAAAACAGAAACTTAATCACAACAGAAAGATCTACAGGATCACAAATGAACAAAACCCTGAAGCAGTGTACATTCAGATCTGACACCAAACTATGAAGGAGAAGCAACCAAGGCCAAGTTTAAATGTGTGGATACAAACCTGCCCCAACATTCTAAGGGAAAGGGGAACAGTCACTATTTTAAAGCCATATAAAAATGAAATGGAAGTTTGTATTCTTCTACCTTAAAGCACTCAAATCACAAGACTCAACTGTCACTTAACCTTGAAACATAGCCAACTGGTAGATCTTCAGTGTTAAAACAATTAAGTGAGCAACCCTGTCTTCAGTGACAGTGTCCATTCTACAGCCCTCTGTAGTCTTTGCTGTATAGAACCAATAAATCGTTTTTTAAAATTTTTTTAAGTCAACTTTTAAGAAACATGCATTATTTTACCATTAACCAAAAAGGCTGGAGATGTAGCTTACTTCTGTGACTTTTTGCGGTGTAATACTTCCTTCGTATGGGCAGCCCAAGGCACAAGACACATACCTAAATTTAAAATAAAAAGCAATATGAATATATATATATATATATATATATATATATATATATATATATAGCACGTTAAGTAGGTAATTTCCATTTTATGAAAATGAAACAACTAAAATACACCATGAAATTTCACTTTACTATCTTCCTTTATTATTATTTTATCATTAAACCAAACAAATAATTTTGGAGAATTTTCAATTAGTCCACATTTTTATCTTTCTAATAACTACAATTTGATGCATGTTATTTGATGGCAGATGGTGATAAAGTAACAGATCTTTATCTTGTGAACCTGTTGGTAATATAATAACATGTTAATGTTCAGAGCAGAAAATACTAGTTAAACACTTTAATTTAAATAATTGCATATATCCAGTTGTTAAATAGATAAGTTTTCAGACATATCGATAGCCAGCATGTAAAAGACTAACTGAATTTCTCTGCACTTCCACCTAGATGTTCTGACCTCATTTTGATGCACTCATCTGTCATCCCAAAACTCTTGGAACTGGGCACAGCCTCAGAGTTCATCTTGTTTCTCTCTCATGGGCTTCCCTAAACAATTCCAAACGAAGAGTGTCTGATGTGTTTAAAAGTTTACAAATAAAGATATTCTATATGTCAGCTTCTTCAGCAATCCACTCTTATATAAAAGTCAGGCGTTTCTTGCAAATAAAATGGTCCCTTTCCATCCTAAATTATAAAGCTTCTGGAAAATCTTGTTTTAGGTATATTCAGCTCATCACCAATCCCAAATTTAATTCAGAGTCTTTGCAACACTATTATTAAAATAGCGCATCATGTATCTGATCATCAGGAGTAGAACCAAGCCACAGAAAGGAGAGAGGGTTGTTGAGAAATGAAGATATAGTTCTTTGGGCCAGAATAAGAAAAATTTTAGATACACAGGTCCCTTGAATACCACACCAATGATGCTGGGCTTTGACAAGCCTCAAAATTATTTTTGGGCACTCAAAATTAGTAGGTAAGGTAGTTATGAAATCAGATTTTTCCCCCAGAAGTATAATCTCCCATGGAAGTAGTTGTCAGAGGAAAGATGCAAGAAAAAGCAAAAGACAAACTGCTATTATATTTCTCTGATTTTATAAGCAGCTATTTATTGGAAGATATATAATGAAACTCATTATAGACTTTGGAGTACAAAAACAATAACATATTTATTGACTCAGAACATGTACATTGATTTCAAGATGTAACTTAAATTTTGAGTTATTAAAATATTAATAAAAGTTATGTTTACAGTTACATCTGTCGGGCCAGCAGTGTAGCTCAGTAGTAGAGTAATTTCCTAGCACTGTAAGGCCCTAGGTTCAACCCCAGGACTACATGCATAAATAAATCAACAAATAGCCCTAGAATCCAGGCAAGCAGCTGTGATGACAAGGAAGGAGAAAGAGTAACAAGTTCAAGTAAAATTTGAAAGTTAGTCCTGGATAGGAAATCTATGTGTTTTCTCTTCTAGTTACTATACTCTAGGATTGTTTAGATAAACTTTCTAAATTTAATTATGACATGTGAAAAGAAAATGTTTTTATTTGAACATAACATTGGAGAAGATAGTTAAGGATAGAAAAAAGAAGGATAGTTTGAATACATACAAGAATTAAAGTAACATATTAAACATATGCTGTATATTGATCCTGAACCCAAAATATCTAGATGTAAGTAAACAGAGAGTCCAAGCCATCCGTTTATGTGTTTTCCCACAAAATGTGAATAACAACAAATAAAATAGAATAAATGCCCTGAACAAAACAAAACAGACAAACCTCTCCTGTATTCTCTACTCATTGCTTGACTGTAGCTAACTCACTGCCAGAATCCCAACTCTCACAAGGGCATTTTCATTCATTCAGTTTTTCTCACCAATGACCTTTCCAGGTCTATGGTAATCTTTGTCTTCACACTAGATTACATTTTATTTTCATATGCTCTTTTTTGGCCTTGCAAGTGTCTAATTTGACTTGTTCACATGTGGAGTACTTTCTCCAAAGCTATTGTGATGGTCCTCAACTACATTTTCTTATCTGTACTTTAACACGCTAAAGCAGGGGTTGACATGTTAAGGCCCAGGGACAAAATCCTGCCCTTTGGCAAATAAAACTTTACTGGAACACAGCAAGGCCTATGTTTACATAGTATATATGGCTGCTTTTGCACTGGAACACCATAGTTGTAATTGCAACAGAAACCCTCTGCCTCCCCCAAATCTAAGCTACTACTATCTGCATGTTTATAGAAAAAGCACTATAAAGAAAAGTTAGACTCCTTTTTCTGACTTTAGAAAGGCCACCATCATTATGAAAATAATGCTCTACTTTGAAAAGTGGCTAAATCCATTTTATGGACTTCTCTTCCCTAACAATCCATGACATTGGTTCTCAATTTTAACTGTACAGAATCACCTTGAGAGCATAAATAACAAATCAAGGACTTGTAGCTCTGTACAAGGAATGTAGCTCTGTACTAGCTCAGTGGCAAGAGAATGGCCCTGGGTTCATCCCAAGCACTGCAAAAACAAGGCAAAACAAAACAAAATCAACAACCACAACAACAAGGCAAAACTCTAAAACTTAACGATACACTACAAACATATTAAATAAAAAAACAAGAATAGAATCTATTTCCCAGTATTTTTGAATTTTTGAGATTCTATTATTATGCCTAGATTCAAGTTAAAATACTTTAAAGCTTTCTTTGAAAGAAAATACCATAACTTCCTTCAGTAGTCCATCCTAGGTAAAGCTGCTGCATAAAAACATTTAATAATATGCTGAGCTATACATTTGCTTCACATATGATAATCTGTATAATAAATTCATTTTATCAATGGCAAACCAGAAGCTAAGAGAAATTAAGTAGGTTGCAGATGTAAATAAAGGTAAGACTCAGACTTTAAAACAAAATCTGTCCAACTTCAGTTTGTGTCTATTACATCAAATTAGTTGCTTATAATTATTTTATGTCCAGCTTGGATTGCCATTCTAAATATTAGCTGGAGTCCAAGGAAACACATCAAGCTAAATATAGACTATTTATAGTTGACTCATAGCTTTTGAAGTACCTTTATTTGCTATTATTTCTGACCACATCTTTTGAAACTTGCTATATTTTCTCTGTCCATTTGCCTTTTCACTATAATTGACCTAACTACCTTATTTGGACCTTTATGTTTTTATTTCCTAAAATGATGCATCCTTAGGTTCATTATAAATTTAATTACTTCAGTCTCACCTAAAGGAATCATGGAAGAACATTAGAGGCCCATATTTATGAAGGTCCCTTGGGACAATCATAATGGGGCCCTGCACCACAGATTTCAAGCTACACCTAAGTACAGATCTTGACGGACTTCTAGTGACCTATGCCAGACACCTCGAGTCATGCTTCAGGTTCAAGCTGGCATTCAATTATATTGTTTGCTATCTGAAAGAGATTTGAAAATGTTATTTTTAAATGGCATGATTGTATATAGAAAGCAATCAGAAAATTAAGACAATGGCAACTCAAGAGATTTTTTTTTCTCATAGTTCTACATTTCTTGGCTAAGATCGTCTAGCTCTCAAATTTTTAATGATCCCCTTTAATCTCAAAGACTTGAAATTTACTGAGTTGCTCTCCTACATTCCAAAATATTTGTCTCCATGACTCCAGATATTTTATTTCATTTAATAAAATCTAATATCATGGCTGTTTTGGGATAATATGAATCAAAAAACCAAAGCAGCAATGTGAAATTAATCTTCTAACCTTTGCGTTTATGATCTGGTTCTAAAATGTAAATCATCACAATTTTTTTGCCAACCCACTCAAAATTTATCTATGTTCCAGATAATTTGTGTGCAGAATTGATGAATGTACCCAGAGTATGAATTGAAGAAGACTAGTCACATGAGATGGGTACTGAAAAGAAGACACCAGACAAACAGTAAATCTGGGTAATCAATCCCCAACTTCTCTAGGCAGAATTTAAATGAGTTCTTCATTTAGAGGAGATGCATATCCTTGTTCAATTCAGACACTCACAAATTTTTGAACCATGAATTCTACCCTCCACCACCACTGATTTTACTTTAATGTAACACCACAAAACATGTTAAGTAACACTTAGGGAAAATCCATCTGGCTAGTTCCCAAGGTACAGCTCTGAGTTTGATTTTGAATTAAGAGTATTTAATACTAAGTATATTTTATTTGAATTATCATGGGAAAATTAAGTAAGATTAAATGTAAGTTTATATAATGCTCCAGTATTTTTTCAGAGTACTTCTTCCAGGTATTCTTTATGTTCTGATTTCAAGTAAAGTTTCAAAACTTTTGTAAAAAAGAAAAAAAAAGCATTTTTCATAAATATATTTAAGAAATTCAGTTATTTTAAATTTGCATTTGAAAAATAATCTTTGCCTCACCAATTAAAACCTTTGAATATTCATTCTTCTATTTCATATAATACATGAATCTTTTTATAATTATTTCTTAAATTTACTATCAGGGACCTGCTTTTACATGAATTCCATGTAAAACATGCAAGAAATAGCATGTTGAAAATATTTCTAAATTGCTATGAGCAACTAACTATATGCAATAAGAACATATGGCATTCAATCAGAACCTGTTACATTAATTTCATACATTAGAGACAATTTTCTTGAAATTATTTATAAAAATTATAAATCCATTTCTTGCCCAGACATGTGAAGTTATGACCTAACAAAAAATCATTAATAACAATAAGATCTTATTGCTATTAATTTTATTGCTAATTTTCATTTAGAATGAAGTTCTAAATTTCACTTAAAAATTCCCTCAGAATTTCTAAATGAAAGCTATTTAGACACGACTGTGCAAACATAGCTTACACAAGGTAACAATTGCTGGCTATGTGTTATTGTAGAACACAGCAGTGTCAGAATACTATGTAGGGATATATATAGATATATATATATATATATATATATATATATATATATATATATGTGTGTGTATATATATATATATATATATATATATATATATATATATATATATATACCTTCAAACAAACCATACATGTGAAAGAAAATAGGTTTAACAGATGCCTCATTTTTAGTTTTATGTCTCATATTTAATTACACATCTTGGTAAATGTTGATTTGAATTATTCTTCCAGACCAACACCTAGGCCTCAGTTTAATGGTAGAAGTTAAAAACAAACTCCTCTAGACAGCAAGAAGCTGCCCACTTATGAGAAGCAGGTGCTACATATGCAAGTGTATTCCACTTTAGTAAATTACTCAGTGAATGTATCAGTCATAGGAAATACTTCCTGCTAGGCACTATGTGTTTAAAGAACAGAGCCCAGAATATGGTGCATCATTATCTTACTCAATAATCTTACTCAATAGAATGCTATTACCCTCAGGGTTAGAGTCAGAATCCATAATAACACCCTGCCTTAGACAGGGAGAAGGACAGGGTACAAACAGCACAACATGATCCAGGTAGTTTGGCTAATTCAACAAAAAGTCTACAGGTTTTGAATATATATGTTAAATCATAAGTCATGTCTCAAACTGAAAACTGTTTTGATGGGGAGGACTGTGTCCTTACTTCATGTCATTTAGGAAGATTGCCATTTAAAAATCTGTCAATTATATAAAGCCGGGAAATACATTAAGTTCAGGAAGAACTTCCTAATAACGATGGTCTTATACTAAAGACTAATTGGATCACTAATATATGTGATATGATCTCTTCTGGAAACCTTTAAAACCAGACTTAATTTTGGGTGATAGTAGATAAAGAGATGGAGAAAATGAGTTCTCTAGCTCACCTCCTCCTACATATTAATAGGTATCATTCACATGTTACATACATGTAAACATTATCTTATCTGATAAATGTCTTTGTTTTTTGGATCTAAAAGAACTCTACGGATTGTCCATATTAGCTTAGTTATTATTTTGCCTTTATTCTTTTATCTCATTATTTCCAGTTTTACTTTTCTGGAAATTTGAGAAGAAATACAACAGGTCACAGATCAATATTATTGCATTTTGTAACTTTTAAAACAATGGATGAATAATTTTGTTGTTTCATAGGAAAGTGAAAAAATTACTTCACTGAGCTTTCAGTAGGTTCCGACTTTGAGAAGTTCAGTCATGAATCAAATTATTCTAGGCCATTTTGTAGAATAGCTTATCTAGGCCACTTTCTAGGAAAGTGTTCATGGTTTATGCTTTGATATACAGAGCTGCTGACCTTTTTATTTTTAATGTGCATTGATAAGCATTTAAATAAGGAAATTAATGGAACCCTAGTGGTAATTTTGTCTTTAAATTAATACCCTCACAAAGAAAGTGAGCATACAATTCATGTGACTTGATTAAAGAGAAGTTACTATTCATTTTAAACAAAAAGCAATAAATCCTAAGTGTTTTAAATGGTGTATAGGGCATTATTTCACATCTGAGGCATTTCAATTTAACAGAATCCTGGAAAACCAATAAATATTTCTTTCCATAAATGCTATTAATAAGAGGAGAGAAAACAATTACATCCAGCACAAACTTTTATGTTCCTTGACCTTCATAACCTTTTTAACTTTACACAAATATTAGATAAATAACCCAGATTTTTAAAACCTATGCCACATGAATTAAGTATTAAAGAATTAAGTACACAATTTAGATATTTCACTTCATGCATATATATGTATATGCAGCAGAAGTGTCTCAGAGATTACATGAAGTTCTGAATATGTATAAAAATGTGTGCACACATATGTGATGTGTGGTTTGGGAGGAGCAATTGGGCAAAAATCTTCCTAATTCTAATGAAAGCTACTAGTTAGTTCACATGAAAGTTACCTTTTTATAAAAATTTATATGTTTTTTGTGAACATTTATAAAGTGTGTACTGCATTCTAGCCTTTAAATCTGACAGCTGATGACATAAATTTTCTGGATGATGATCAAGCACATATGTGATAGAACAACTGTTGCTATGTGAAATGAGCTGAAGCATCTGAGTTTTAACTGGTGGAGATGGCTCTTTTCCTGACATAAATACCAATGCTTTGTGAATGACAATAGCAAGTACCTAAAGTCTAGATTGCAAAATAAAAATAATTTTTTTTTCTTAAAATACAAAAAAAAAAATCTGTGGGAGAGAGAGAAGATAATTTAAAGTGCACAAATAGCTAATTAACTCACATGCTAAAAGGTATATTCCCATAAAGGAATAGTGTTCCAGATAATCCAGAAGTTAATTTTTAAAAATCATATTTGAAAACACATATTTCTCTGCAGTGTTCTACAATAGAGTCTCCACTGAAGTTACTTTTTTTGGTTTTACTGAGTCACTTCTCATCCATCTGTAGCCTTATCAAAGACTGCCAGGTTCTTAAGTCACAGTATGGTTAAAAGTTTCTTTACTGATGAGGCAATATAAATTGTCAATCAAAAAATTTAAAGATGACTTTGGATTTCAATTAGTTCAGTTACATTAACCATTTTTTTATGAGAGAGCTAAAACCTAAGAGCTGACTTCATACAATTTGTTTATGTACATCTTTCAACATTAAAAATCCCTACAGAGTTCCTGTTTAAAGAATAACACTTCTTACAGATTTGCCTTTTTTTCAACTTCCCAATGAAAATTACTTTAGAGCTTACATTTCACATTTTAAAGACATATGAAATAGAATAGGGTCTTCTTAGTTTCCTTTCTTTTAAAGGTAAACAACACAAAACAACTTATTCATATTGAATTTAGGAACTTATAGTGTGGGCTTCTTTATATATGGTTATGTAAATTTTGCCTTAAAAATAAATATTGTTTTATGCATCTGGAATGACATTAGCTTGCCTTTAAATTTTTTTGCTAGTTTTTCCTATGATATATATCTATTTTAATTACAAAAATAATTCCACATCTTAAAAAGCTCATGTTGAAGACTTACCACAAAAAGAGGAAAAAGTTTAAAAAACAACAAAACAGTTCACTATGGCATAGCCCAACTCTACTTATTCTCCAAATGGGCTTGACTCATTTCCAATCCTTTTCTAATATCCTCGGTTAAGGGTGATTCACTTGGCTTTCTCATTTACTATTCAATCATCCTGACACTATGGACTTTGCTCACCTCAACTAAAGGAAGTACAATGTACATCTAAGTCAATTTCTGGCACTCAGTCTTCTCTTGCAAATACGATGCCTGTCAATTTATGATACTACAACATGTTTTTAAAATTTGTATATTTATGAAATCAATAGACATTTATGTAATGTCTTTCTTCAGTGACACAGACTTTATTTTGTGTGCTATATCACATAGGCATAATTGCAATACTTTTTGTAACTGCTGGTCCTGGTAGCAAGCAAGAACCAAGGTAGGAGTTCCTCTCTTCTCCCTCTGTCTCTGGCTCTCACAGCTACTGGGAGACCCCTTCTTTTTTCCATTTGTTTTCTACTACTCCGTCTTGTCACTGATTTGCACGCGGCTCCATGCTATGAACACCAAAATAGAGACCTCAGCAGAACAACCACATAATCTTTAAACTCAGGTGACCAGGTTTACTATCCCATTCCCAAACTCCTGTGTGAGAAAATTGGACTTGTGGATCTCAGGCCAGGTGATTTTGTTTGTTTTTTTGTTTTGTTTTGTATATTTGGAATCTCCTGGATTGAAAAGCTGATAACTCGGACCATGAGCAATGCTGTTTTTACAAGAAAAAGGCAAGGCAATGAGAGAAGACCACTATCTTGTATGTACCTGTACTTATAGAAAAAATATAGAATAAAAAACTAGAGAAGAACTATTTGTGTTTGTATGCTGTATGCAGTTTGTCAAGTATTTTTAAACAGTGCTCTGCATGGTACTATGAATAAGCTTTGGGGTTATCCAGTGGAAGTAAGGAAGTCAGCAATTAAGGGGAAGTTGAATGGGTAAAATGATGTTCCCAACTTCCCAGAGCAGCTCAGAGGCTCGATGTTATGTCCAACTTATTCTATTAAAGTAATACATAAACTTGTCCTTAAAGAAAGTCATGCTTTTGAAAAAAACATATTTGAAAACCATATTAGATGTTTCCTTCTTAAAACTGCTAGGACTTTTTATCAATATATCAACACACACAAAGTTGAGATCAAAAGATAGTTGAATCTGGAAAGCTGAGAGTTGATATAATGGTTAGTGCTGGAATCACATGCTAGTCCCTCTGATCTTAATTTCATTATACATTCCATAGGCCAGATACCCACTAATAATCATTAATAGCATTAATAATATGTGACTGTATAGACTGCCTTGATTAAATAAGGTACAAATAAGATATCCTATGTATATGTCTACAGAGTTTATAACTAAGCTGTAATAATAGATGCTAATGAAATAGAATTTGTGGGACTTTATAAGTACCCTCGAACTGGAATATTCATGTGCCTTGCAGACTTAACGACCTCTTCAAACTTTCCCATACTTTCTTCAATGGAACAATTAATATTCTTCTTGCTAAAGGATTCAGATGCAGCACCAAAAACTGATATCTCAGTGGCTCCAGCAGCAACCTGAAAAACATAAGTTAAAGTCAAAAGCAAAAATTTTCAAAAGTATAAATGATAGCAGAAGAGTAACTATTAAAGCATGCTTATGTTACCATTTGACTTAAAATTTAAAACTAGACTTCTCTCATCTTGCCACATACTCCGTTTTGAAAGGGAAAAATATTTTAATAACAGAATAATTCTATAAGTTCATATATCTATGAGGCACAAAAAACACAGAGATGATGTTCCAATTTAATTTTGCCTTTCAACATATTATCCTGAGAAATACTTCTACCCTAATTGTGGAAAATACTTTCACCCCAATAAAACCTTTATTTTCCACAGAAAACATTATTTTCAAACCAATTATTAAATTAGAGGATAGAAAACATTCTGGTTTTGTTTTTCTTCTTTTCCTACAATCCAAGAGAAAAATACTTTTCCAATTCATTTTGGATTTTGCCCCAAACTTTCCTTCCTTCCAACTCTTAACCTAGCTTCTATTGTTTTATGTCCTGACTGCTACAAGCACAGTCTTGTGTGTCTAAGACTCTTAATCTTCCTGTCAGTTTTTAAGTTGAAAATATTAGCTAATATTTTCTTCCTTTGGCCCCCTTTGTCATCTTCACTCCTTCCTCAAAGCTTCTCTATTGATTTGTTTTCAAATGTCAACTCTCCTGAGCTACATCCCCAGCCCTTTTTTATATATTTTATTTAGAAACAGCAACTCACTGAGTTGCTTACGGCCTAAGTTGCTGAGGCTGGCTTTGAACTCACAATTCTCCTGCCTCAGCCTCTTCAGCTACTGGAATGACAGGCATGTGCCACTGCCCAGCTTGAGTTTTTAAGACCTTCTCTTAATGCATCGCTAGCATTCTGCCTAAGTTTCCCCACCCCATCTCTGATCCCCTCCTAATACAATAAAAAAAAAAAAAAACCTGTCATCTTTTCTACAGCATTTTAAAAATTAGTAGTTTTTGTGCCTCTGTCCAAAATAAGTTTAGACCCTCTAAAATAAAATGTCTGTTCATTGAACACCTACTATTCACCAGTACTGATGTTTGCACTTTGCAGGCCATTTTTTTTTTTATATATTTACCATCAATTCTGTAAGAACTATGATTATGCCCATGTTACAGATGAAAATATTGTGGCACACACACACACACACACACACACACACAATCTAACTAGATAGCAAAAGCTCATATAGTAAAATTCGGGGAGCTATGTTTTGAGTATAACCTTTGACTCCCAAGCCATCTATTTCACCCCACTGATGGTACACTATCCTGAGGATGTCTTCTCAGTAACTTTCTCAAGGTGGAAGATGGCAACATTTACACATTCTTAAAACGCCTCTTTCTTTATAAAGTAATAATTATATCAAATCAAAGGAATGAAAAGATAAATGGTTCTAACAGCACATATACTAACTAACTAGGACTCCACAACTTCAGCTTTATACCATACAGTGTTAAATGCAGAAGCAAAGAACAATCATTAACACTAGAGTAGCTACAGTAGAACTATTGCAATAAGCCCATGTAAGCACAATACAATAAGCTTCTGCTTAAATTTGGAATAGCTATTCTTGTATGTATAATTATTCAAGCTTTCACTTAAACATAAATCCCTAAATCACACAGAATCAGAAGAAAAACAAAGAAGAAGAAGAAAAGTCATTAGATGTACACACAAAGTTGAACTTCGTCTAGAGGGAGGAAGCAACAGAAACAAAAACTTGTCCAAGAATTTTTGACAAAATATTTATCCATCTCAGGAATATTAATGACTTATCAATAAACGTTTGAGTTGTACCCTGTATTACCTACTTAAGAGGGAGACACAAAATACACTGTTAAAAAATTTATGACAATGGAGAATTTTACTTTTATATTTTGTTTCTGTTATTTTAATGTTTTGATTATTAATTTTCTTGAATGCTTAAATTAAAAGAGCCAATTATGTAATACTTTGGTCTCTAACAATGCTGTGAGGGTACACCGCATTTCTACACATTCATGTTAGTATATTAGTAGTGTACTTATAAAAGTTAAGTTAATTACACAGGACACCATTTTAACTTAGTACATATCTTTAAAACAATTATGGGCATATAAATTCTAGAAAAACGAGTAGCACACTTACAGCACGGTGAAAACCCTGAAGATTAGGAGTAAGGACAGGATATCGAACTCCTGGATATTGATTAATGCCTTTCATCACTTCAGTGTGATCAGCCATCTTAAATACATAAGAGTTACATTTAAATATGTAGCTGAATATTAGATCAAACATGTACTTAGATTTGGGGGTAGGTTATAATTGCATATGCAAATATATTCTACAAAATAACGCTTGAAATTTTAAAAATGTGCCAATATAACTGCAGAAAAAGTAGTTGTCAGTGTCATAGGTATATAATGACTGGATATGAGCTTAATTAATTCATATAAAAAGATCTGGCCACATGAGTGATTACAGAGTCTCATGAACTTTTCTAATTTCCTTAAAAATGTTCACTTGACCAAAATTCATTCTCTACCATTCTGTATAATTTAATAGTCCAATCCTCAAACATTCCTGATAGTGGGGAGAGTGTGAAAGGCTCTCCTCCTCCCACAGGAGAATTTTATGACTAAACAGCTTCTAGTGCATAAAATTTTACAATGTTTAATAAGATATAAATTATACATGTCCATTAGAATAACTTAACAAAACTGAGATATGTTACTTGGGTAGCACAGGTGTTTCAGTTAGTATAGTTATTATGCTTAATATAGTAAAATCAAAAAATTACTACCTATTTCTCACAGGCAAAATATAAATACAGTAGAGAAAACACCTATGACAAAATTTAACCCACCCTGTTAATATTTTATTTTCTGAATCTATTAAAAATCAACTTTAACTTAAAATATCCAATCCACAAAGTCTATTAGTTACTCTTTTAAAACAATCACTGATAATCAGATACCATGATTGACACATGAAAATTATTGCTTACATAACTATTTCATATTTTAAAATATCAAATTATGCATGAACTATGTATATATGTAAAATAATATATGATGGAATGTATAAAAAATGAACTGGAGAATGTGTTTTAATTAGCAAACAAATCAAACAACTTACATCAAACCAAAACTGATATCCTTACTGCGGAAATGGAGAATGAAGACTATTGTTTTATCTCTATACATATTAACTTCTTATAAAGAACATGCATTATTTTGAATGTTAAAAACATAAATTAACTAAAGCATAAGTGGTTTTCCTTAATATATGTATACATACTTTAAAGCAATATAAAATATTACAATATTTGTTGTGTTTGCGCTATTAGTCTTCTCAACTTTTAGTTAAATGCCAGCAGACTTAAACTAAATATTTTGAATGAATATAATTTGGATTAATTAAATGTCTTAAATATATTTTAAATTTAAATTAAATTTTTAAGATGCAAAATAATCCCTCTGGTTGACTGTCATTGTCATGCCTTACCAGTAATTAAAACTGCTTGGTTCATTCAATACAGACACATTTATTTAAACCTAACATGTAATTCTTGATCATTTATTTCTAAGGTAACATATCCACCATCTCCCACCTCATTACTATACCCTTTGCAAAGGACATAATATCTACCATATCAATTCATTTGTGATTCATAAAAGCCAAATCCCTTATTTCATTTTAGTCTCATTTGATGTTAACTCAGATGTTTACTGAGCATCTACCGTGTCCAAAACCATATGCTAGATCCTGTGGGAAAAACAGATCTTACTTTTCTGTGAGAAACTGAGGTCCTATCAATGAAGTCATTTGCAGGATAGTTGTGGAGAAAAAAACAGATACACATGGAGAATTCACAATCCAAAGGGATACACTGGTTGCTAATTAAAACACATAAAAGTTTGGAAAGGGAAAATACTGGTATGACCTATGATAGTCTATGAACATTTAAAAGAAAATATGGAGTACAAACTGAAGCCCTTGACTGTAGCATATTATAAATTTAAAAATAAAAAATGGTCATAGTAAGATTTCCAGTTCTACATACTCTTCCAGGTTCTCTCCACTGTCAATCAAGTGGTGTATTCTATTTACTTCCCCCCTGGAAGCTGGGTGGGCTCTGATTGTTCCAACTAATAGTATATAGTGAAAATAATACTGTATGACTTCTGAAGCTAGGTTATAAAAAAGGATATAAGTTCCATATGGCTTTCTTTTTGGGGAAAGTCAGTGTGGAGAAATCAGCCAACATGCTAGGAGAAAGAAAAGACTCTCCTATGCAGACAGGGCACCCGAAGAGGCCTCCTGGAGAATCTGTGTGAATTGAGATTGAGGCCCCCAGCCAATACCTATTATCATCCCCTCTATCTGTCACTGAAGTAACCTTCACATGATTCTGACCTCCAAAATCAGAGACTACAGTTGAGATCCTAAACATTATGGACCAAGAACAACCTGTCACTCTGTGCTCTGCTCAAATTCCTAATCTACAGAATAAGTGAACATAATAGATGCTTATTTACACCACTAAGTCCTCAAGGACTTCATTATATAGACGCACATTCTGGAATTCTGAAAAATGGATAGGGCTAGAAAAGAAGGACAGACAGAAACAGAGCATTTGGCTAGAGAACATTACTGGTGAATAATCAGGGTTGAGATATAAAGATGGACGTCCTACATTGTGACACATCTTTGACATACTTTCACATTAATCTAAAGATCCGTAATTTATCCTGAAGGCAACACAAAGGCATGGAGAGTCAGTGTCGAACTGGCACAGGACTGAATAAAAGTAGTATTATAGAAGGATGAACCAGATGGAGGTACAAAGGTCAGTCTAGAAAGATGGAGATGATTCTCAGATTATCATATGAGATTCCAGTTTATGTGAAATTCTATTGTAGAAAATGGCACTAGGAATAGAACTCCCAAAGAAAAATTAATAGGACAAGAGCTAATAGCATGAATGATTACTTGAAAATGCAATCATCACTATTTTATAGCCTTCCTTTTAAAATATTTGACATTTGTACAGATTTCAACACAGTTCTTGATTATCCACGGATATTGCCTTGGTGCTTGATGCTATTTAGAATGTGAGCTTTCTGTCTCCTCTCTGCCTTGTTTTTCTCTCACACTTGCTCTCTCTCTCTCTCTCACAAACACACACACACACACACAAATAAGCATTAATATGCAAATTATAAGAAAACCATAGCATTTGTTTATAATTTCAAGCAGAAAGAATTTACTATTAGTTTTAGCCTGTTGAAATTAAGTAAAAAGAACAACATTCTCTTACTAGAAAATAATGTCAAATCAATATTACTAATGCTTAAAATTTATTAAACATAATAACCTTAAACATTTATTGAAAACACCTATACTACCAGGATAACAAAAATGAATACTGTGTCCCTAACCAAATATAGATTAGGTTAAAGTATGGCATTCTATCATAAATAGCACAAAGGGCAAATCAAATTTTAATCTACAAGAAATATTGGTCATCTCAGCCTACAAGAGCATTTTTTCATTCTATATATAATTTAATGAAAGTCTTGAATCAATGTGAAGAACCTTAAATAATGAAACAAACATAAATTGCTTTTTATAGATGTTTCAACCAGTAGAACTTCAAAGGAGACATAATAATAACCATGTTTCCATGTCATAACAGCTGAATTTTGATAATCATTGAAGATGTCTTCATTTTATGATAAACATATGAACTAGAATCCAAAAACTCACTACTTTTTGTTTTGAAAAAAGTCACATATAATGAGGTCATTTAGAAAATAATAGCATTCTGTCCTATTTTGTTTAATAAAGGCAATAAGAAAAGAGTTTTAGGATATTCTAATAGGATGTGATGTTATTATAATGAATAAAATAAAGTAGGTTTCAATTAAAGCTATAAAATCCTTACTTTAATATCTTTTTATTGGACAGTTTATGTTATATTTCAATCTTGATGTTATTTTAATGTCTAAAGTTTAACTATTATTCAAACAATGGAACTAACTATTTCTTTACATTACTGTTTTGACATTTAATAAAAAAACTTTCTACATCTGGTTTGATTTAAAATATTTTTCAGATTTTTCTGTGGCTTTTTATTGAAAAAAATGCAATATCAAGAAACCTCATGATTTGGTTGGGAACTTGTTTTGCCATCATCTGGATATAGTCTGGAAATAACAATACCTGTGACTTTCTATCCAACAAAGCAGGACTACTATGAGTAATCAATTTCTTAGGCATTCACATGTTGATATGGATTCAAATAGTCACAATATTTGTAAGAGTTTTAATGATATGCAAAAGACTATAAGGATTAGAATGTAATAAGTTTAGAGAATTCATTAACAACTATCATAGTGCAAATAAATTTAAATAGTCCATTTTATACATATTTAGACATCCTACTAACATTTTGTTATTATCTGAACACTATAATCTCTCCTAAACTTTTAGGCTTTTATTATGTTCCCCAGTCAATGGCAATGGCTAAATACAGAACGAGCATTGTTAGTGTTCTGATCCTGCCCCAGTTCTCTGAGATTAGTACAAGTACAAGATAATGCATATGAGTAAACACTAATAAACCATGACAAGAGTTTCTCGTGAGTTTCAGAAAGGGAGTAAGTAATATTAGAAGTTTCAATATTTTTTTTTGTAAATTAGCTGTTAACTTTACAATTGAGGGAATACAAAAATTAACATATTTTTTAAATATCACAAGGCCATAAATTTTTAAGTTTATATCAATACTTATTCATTCCTCTTAATATTTATACACATACAATTACTACCTGTCTAACATTTAGCTATAGGAAAATGAAGCAAATGTAATCCTTTCATTGATGCATGGGCTACTGAGGGGGGCATATAATTATGTGTGTGTGTATGTGTGTGTGTGTGTGTGTATGTGTGTATGCATGTGCATGTATTATATAAAAACACATATACCATAAATACAAAATAACACATAACCATGTCACCTGAAATTCCAGAGAACATAGATAAGGAAACATTTTTCTTTATAGCCCAAGCTTAAATAATGACAAAATATTTAAGCTACACCTTATTTATATCAAATGTAAATCACCCAGGAGCCTATTTTTTAGTGGAGCAATACTATTCATAGTATTTGAAAGTATTCCAAATTTTTCATTGAACAAAGTTATTCATATAGATAGATAGATGTAAAATTCAATTTT